TCCAGTCTGAGACATCTCTTCTGGAAGTTCAATCAATGCCAGAGCTTTACAGACATGGGCTGTTTTTCTTTTTCTTTTGTGAATTTCCAATTTAGCTCACAAAGCCTATCAAGATTTTAGAGCTTTTTGTTATATGGTGTTTTTTTTAGTCATTATGCTCCGTCTACAACCAATGTTCTAGACATGAAGCTGTTAAAATTGAACAAGGCGAGCAAATTGTTAATAATATAGAAGAAACCAGTTTGGTGTTAGAAGAAAGTTGATGTTAAAATTAAAATAAAAATCAGCGATTGCATCACTTTATTTGCTCTTGTTCTGTTTGCATCAACCTTGGACGACTGACTCAGCTCCAGCGCTCTGATTTTTTCACTTTTCCAGGTGTCTGTGGTTTTCTATGAGCGAGTGCCGGCAGCTGTCCAACACTGAGCCTGTCATGCACGGACAAATCCAGTCTCCCCAATATTCTCAACCTTATCCTCTCATCCTGCAAAAGCAATGGGACCTCTGTATCTACTGGTTTCAGATTTTTATGTAACTTAATGATATCAGAACATTTCAGCGCTCTCACCCTGAGTACAACAACTCCAGCAGTACAGACTACAGCAATGGTACTGACTTGATCAGAGTGCAAAAGTAGATCTCATAATCTCATGTGTAATGCCCATATGTTTGCCAGAGGAGGGTGCTACACACATAACTGAAATGAGAGGCAAATAAATACATTAGATTTTTTAAAAGTATCATATTTATCTAAAAGGAGTAAACATTTTCCTCATAAATTTTTGAATTTGTTCTTCTCCCCTAAGTAACAACATGTATAAATTTCACTAATTTTGTGGAAAAGATTTACAGGAAGTCACTGCTGTATTTTTGTTTTCACGCTGGTTTCGGGCTTTGGTCTTTCAATAATGAGCATGTGTATTTCCACAAGGAGACACATGAAATACCAGAATTAACAAATAACATGTTTTGTGCTGAACTCCCTGAAGGTGGGAAGGACTCGTGCCAGGGTGACAGAGACACTGGGCTGCTGGGATTGTCAGCTGGTGGGTTGAGTGCATACCAGGTAACAATCTGTTGTTAGCATAAAGGCATTTAATCACACATTTAAGTCTTCAGTCTGTTGTCAGACAGCAAAATCCCTTAAGTGTAAGAGTATATCATGAGTATAAATGGAGCCAGGAGAGCAAGCATAGTTGCAAGACCAGTTAATTATGACTTCAAATAGTTATGTTGTAACGGGCAACCTGTATCAAATTTAACAGGTAAATATTCAATTGCATGTGTTATTTGATATTTGCTTATTGAATACTTCCCCCCTTCCTCTTATGGTGTTGATTTGCAGATTTTCATGTGATCTAATAATATCAGAACCCACCAGGTCTCCCCTGTGTTTCTGGTCACACTACAGCAATGCCATCACCTTGATCAAACCTCTACACTTGATCATATTCACCTCATTCATTATGATTATGTCCATATGCTTGCCAGCAGAAGATGCTGATTCTTGTGAACACATTCGCCAATTCATGCTTTTCTCCACTCGAGTGCCAACCTATAGATCTCACTCGGCTTCAACATGAAATACTTGTAGATGTTTTGAATTTTCCATAAGTTTCAGTTATACAGTGGGATGCAAAAGTTTGGGCAACCTTGTTAATAGTCATTATTTTCCTGTATAAATCGTTGGTTGTTACAATAAAAAATGTCAGTTAAATATATCATATAGGAGACACACACCGTGATATTTGAGAAGTGAAATGAAGTTTATTGGATTTACAGAAAGTGTGCAATAATTGTTTAAACAAAATCAGGCAGGTGCATAAATTTGAGCACCACAAAAAAAGACATGAAATCAATATGAAGTAGAGCCGCCTTTTGAAGAAATTACAGCCTCTAAACGCTTCCTGTAGGTTCCAATGAGAGTCTGGATTGTGGTTGAAAGTATTTTGGACCATTCCTCTTTACAAAACATCTCTAGTTCATTCAGGTTTGATGGCTTCCGAGCATGGACAGCGCTCTTTAACACACACCACAGATTTTCAATAATATTCAGGTCTGGGCTGAGATGGCCGTTCCAGAACGTTGTACTTTTTCCTCTGCATGAATGCCTTAGTGGATTTTGAGCAGTGTTTTGGGTCGTTGTCTTGATGACCACATATTTTACTGCAGGCAGCAGGTGTTTTTCTTGGAATGCTGTGTTCTTTTTCCTCCATGCATAACACCCCTTCTTATGCCCAAATAACTCAATTTTAGTTTCATCAGTCCACAGCACCTTATTCCAGAATGAAGCTGGCTTGTCCAAATGTGCTTTAGCAAACCTCAAGCGGCTCTGTTTGTGCTGTGGGCAGAGAAAAGGCTTCACTCTTGCATACAACATCTCCTTGTGTAAAGTGCGCCAAATGGTTGAACGATGCACAGTGACTCCATCTGCTGCAAGATGATGTTTGAGGTCTTTGGTGCTGGTCTGTGGGTTGACTCTGACTGTTCTCACCATTCGTCGCTTCGGTCTATCCAAGATTTTTCTTGGTCTGCCACTTCGAGCCTTAACTTGAACTGAGCCTGTAGTCTTCCATTTTCTCAATATGTTCCTAACTGTGGAAACAGACAGCTTAAATCTCTGAGACAGCTTTCTGTATCCTTCCCCTAAACCATGATGGTGAACAGTCTTTGTCTTCAGGTCATTTGAGAGTTGTTTTGAGACCCCCATGTTGCTACTCTTCAGAGAAAATTAAAAGAGGAGGGAAACTTACAATTGACCCTCTTAAATACTCTTTCTCATTATTGGATTCACCTGTGTATGTAGGTCAGGGGTGACTGAGCTTACCAAGCCAATCTGAGTTCCAATAATTAGTTCTAAAGGTTTTGGAATCACTAAAATGACAACAGTGCCCGAATTTATGCACCTGCATGATTTTGCTTAAACAATTATTGCACACTTTCTGTAAATCCAATAAACTTCTTTTCATTTCTCAAATATCACAGTGTGTGTCTCCTATATGATATATTTAACTGACATTTTTTTTATTGTAACAACCAACGATTTATACAAGAAAATAATGACTATTAACAAGGTTGCCCAAACTTTTGCATCCCACTGTACTTTTGTTTCAGGCTTTGGTGTTTTGCTTTTGCATTGTAAATATGGATAACAGGCAGATTCAAACAAGCAAACTGGAGTATGTGCATTTCTCAGTGGTGAAGCAGGAGACATGCAGGAATTTAATCATTTTGCTTAGGAGCAAAACATAGGGGGCACATTGTGTCTATAACTATCTGAACTTGAGCAACACTGGAGCCTATCCGAGCTGCAGTACCATAAGGTTAGAAGCAGGGTGCACCCTGGACAGGTCACCATGCTGTCACAGGGCCAACACAGAGCCCAGGATAAAATTCTGTAACAATTTATTCTTGGAGAAATTCAGCAAACAAAACAGACCAATACATTTAGAATCTAAGTCTTCATTAGGGTCTATAAGAAATCAGACACATCAGAGGGACACAGTGGAGACACCTCTGGTTGAACGGTTTGGAGACATGCTTGTGTGGACTGGACAAAGCATGGATGTCCAGTATATCCCTGTCCCTATCCATGATCCACTTTGGTAACCCTAAAATCAAACAGACAAAAGAAGATTTATTTATTTAATTATTAATTCATTCATCCATATATTTTATTTATGTTGTCGATTTACGTTAAAATGAGCGTGTGTGCTTATTTCCGCATTGACTGATGACGGACCTCTGTTCTGTCATTGGGCGATCCTGCCTGTTCGCTTTCACTTTCATTCCACCCACTGCTGCAGTGCGCATGCTCCTGACAAAGAAACAGCTGCACAGACTCTTGAACTACCTTTATTGTTTACTTTTAGATTGCGTTAAATTTAAAGTCCAGCACGTATGATGAACGCCATCGATGGAGCGAAGAACGGATATAAACAACTCTAGGCAGTAAACTCCTGAATAATGCGGTGGTAGTTGTTGAAATCAAAAGTGAAAGTGCTGTGGTGCACTCAGCAGTTATTTGATATCCTTCTAATTTTAATTTACAAAAAAACTGGGAACACTTGCACTATGGTGGGGATGATGATGGTTATTAAAGTCATTTTAACTGGATACCTCATGACGTGCGTTTATGGTAAGAGCATAAATCTCATTGATTAAGCACTGGCTGTAGAGACGTGACTGTGAGCTCGACATTAAAGCTTTTAACAGAAGTATTTGCTGATAACCGAAGAGCTCTGAGAAAAGTGGGTATTTTCTGAACCTCTAATTAACAGCGTTTAGGTTAAAATGGCAGCAGAATAATAGAAGGGCTCAATATACCGAAACACCTGAGCTCTCTGATCTTTTCTCTCTATTAGCCCAGACAGTGGTTCTATCTTAAATGCTGGTGCACTAAGATTTTTAAGAACTGTTCTTCTTCTTGTTTCTTCAGCTGATGGAGTTGCAGATGTGGTACTCACCTGCACTCTGGTGGAAGAGGGAGCTGGACTTGGTGGAATGGGAGGCGGTCACTTCACTCGGACTCCGGCCACTCTTATTTTACGAGATGTTGCTGTGGGCCCGGACGAATCACTCGAAGAACTCACTCCGTTTGTTCCTCCCTCCATCCCTGATCCAGACCTCCTCCTGTTTGAGGCCAAAGGTTTTTCCCTTGCCACCTCTTTGTGCAAAGTTTCCTCTAATGTAAGCTGAACTCTGTGATGAACTTCTTCTCTTATTCTTTGTAACAGTATCATCTCCTGAGATCCCCAATGCAAACGTGCTGCTCCATGCAGACTGCAATGAGCAGGAAGTGATGTGCGAATTAAGTAGTTACTCTCCTCGGGGATTCGAGGAAAACTCAGATCGGGTCTTTTTCATGGTGTCCCTCAGTGTGGATGAGGTTGACTTCAGCACTGCGCTGATTCTGGAGACCTTGAAGGTGGAGAAAGACGAGTCAACCCTGATGCAAAGCAAGCTGGCTCTTCCTCTCAGCCAGTCAGGAACTCTGCTTACCGACTGTGAGATCCATAGTTTAATATCACATTTTATACGAAGGAGCTTTATATGGTTTTCTTAGATTACACATCATCCTCAAATGTTTTCTACCCCTCAGTGATATTTGTGGTGTTCACCCACATAAAGTCTGTGTCTGCCCCTCTGAGAAGTGATGTTCTCCTCAACTGTGGCTTCAAGCAGCAGGACACGCCATTAGCACAGGAAGTGGGCATTGAGTGGCGTCTGCAGCACAGAGGTAAAGGCAGGAAGGTGCTTGAAATGAAGAGGGCGCTGGATGATACAGAAGGCAGCACGATAGGTGAGCATTGTAGGTGTTAGCAGGTGTATCTGCATGTGTAATGCAGGGTTTGGCAATGAGAACCTACACTGTTTATTTTAATGGCTTTAAGACTGATGCTACTCAGGATGGTGATAGTTCAATAGTGGCATCCCACTTTACAAATATATGTTAAAAAAAAGGGCTTTGAATGATTGTTTCTAGTGATCTTAGGAGGATCATTTTAGTGACAGTCTTCTGAATGTTTTCAGTGAGTTTCTAGCCATGGGTTTCTTTATGTATGTAAGTTTTGAACCAAATGTCTGATTTTTATTAATTGTTTAGATAATGGTATTGAGACAAGTGGAAAGGAGACTATAATGTCAATTTTTGACTTTTATTTCAGGCCTGTTGTCACCAAAGATGACCTTTAGCATCTTAGCATTTTTACTATGTTTCTGTAAAGTTGCCACAAAAAGTTATCAGAAAGTTAACGCAAAAGTTATTTGAGATTTTAAAAAATATTCATCCGTGGAGAAGCTAGCAAACAGGAAGTGAGGTCATATGAAAAGATTTTTATGGTATTGGAACCAAACTTTATGGATGTATTTAAAGATTACAAGCAAACAAACAAAAAACAAAACAAAACAAAAAATCCACTGAAAAAACAAAATACATCTGTCTTACTACTATTGCCACCTGTAAAATAAAGATAATTCACCTTCACACTTTTTGTACCCCACATTGCTGCTTGTAGTTGTATTTGAATAAATAGATTTTAAATAGGTGTACAAGTTTGTTATTTTATAAATAATTCAGGACCTCAGAAGAACTGTTAAAACATATGAAATCACAGTGACAGTGGGTGATCTCAGTCCTGCACCAGCTCCAGTGTCAGTGTACATATAACTAGATTTGGATTTTAATTACATAAAGTTTTTACATGCCTTTTACATGCCTCATTTAAAACAACATTTATCTTATAGTTTTAAAGGAGGTAATTTAGGAATTAAATATGTTCATCCTTTACCCACAATTCATCTCTGTGTATTCATGGAATTCTGCTCAGTAGTTTAGTCTTGCTGAATTACTGACAGACAGGC